GACGTCTGGGGGCAGGTAGAAGGGTACCAAGGGATGACAGATAAAACCGATAACGTGGCGTGACTTCAAATCGCTAGACTATTTTATAGAGAACTGGATGGTGATTATGCCAATTTTTTGTCGCAAATTCAGAGATATCATCATTTCGACGTAGACGGTGAAAATAAGAAATCTGAATGTTAGGTAATTTTCACTTCTAATGTCGGACGAACTGTATTACTCAACTGAAATGATGAGGACATTGTAATCTGACAGTATAAAGATATTGCACTGAGAGAAATATTCAATAAAAATTACGTGTATTTTCCGTAATTCTGGAGCGAAATGTGGTTGTCGGAAATTTTACGGAACTGTCACGTAATTTTTATCTAAAGTTACGGAATTTTTCCGCGGTGTTCCGTAATTTTTATCTGAATTATCGGTGAAAAATAACGATACCGTCACTTAAATTTTTCGAATCAACTCCGTAATCGGTAAGTGAATTGAAAGTTCCGTAATTTTTACTAAATATTTCTCTCCGTTTGCAAACGTTAACTTTAATTCTTATTAATCCTTTGTTGGTGAGACTATTCAATGAAACTGTAATTTCAACTCTCTGACATAATTGTTACAAACATGCCGAAGTTCTATTGTCGCGCCGTCATATGAAATCAATTAAACCAATCGAAGTGAAGTAAAAAAATTTGTTTTTCAATGCTGCTGATACTGTTATCTGTTATGAAAAATAAATATATGTTTAGAAAAAAGTAAAAGAAAAACTGAAATATCGCTCGTAATTTGTTTCTGATTTTCATCAAGGAATCATTGCAATAGAGAATAAATCGGTAATTACTGATTTAACAGAGCACCGAGGAGAGGGGTGGGCTATGACCGTAAATAATTTCGTGAACAGCATAGCGTAATTGTGTGTGTATTGTTAATTTTTTTATTAGATTTTCTTTGCGCCATTATCAGCAGAAGAATGGATGAAGGACAATTCAGATGGCATCATGTTTCACTTTGGCGCAGCGAAAAGTGGCGAGCAAGGGGAGCGACAGAAATATGAGGAACGCAAACATCAAATGTGTCCAACTCATACATATACTAGCTAATGAGGAAAACCTAATCTATTTTCTCACATATATTTTTGCAAATTGTCCCGTCCCAATTTCATTACGGAAGAATCAGTAAAAGGCTTATAATAACACAAAATTTAGACAGATCCATATCCGTTAAGAGGCATTATTGACAAGGAATTGAATTTTTATGTTTGGAAATAAAGATTACCACTCGCATTTATTCTACTTTTATAGTCTTCTCAATATCTAATAGTGACAATAACTCGTAACCGAAGAGTAACCAAAGAATGTTCAAAATATCAAAAATATGATGACTACGCATTTTCATGATTACTTCCCTATGTGCTGCATAAAAATTATTAACGTTCATAGGTCTTCCCTCTCCTCGAGGCATAGTCGAATCGCCCATTCCCGGTTACTTCTGTATTGCAATAATTCTTCCATGAAAATTACAAGCGACTCATTCAGTATAAATTTTTTTAACATTCATTTTTCAACATGCATCAATTTTCTTTTGAGACATCTCTGCTTGATACAGGACTGCACGTAAGTTCCGGATGTAAACATGAACCATCTAGATAAGATAGTAAATTTATTAAAATTACTAAAAAAAAATAATATGAAGCTGTTATACCCCAGATTTTGGTCAATAGCGTTATTATTGAATATTCGTAAATTTATGCCAGTAACTTCTAGACATTTACAGTAAATTGGAAAAATTTATTGAAATTAAACATAATCAGCCTAGCCCGAATTTCTGTGACAGTTATAAACATTCCTGACCTCTGCAATAGTCAACATGGATCGAGTACGACTCAGTGGAAGCTTTATTTAAAAAACCCCGACTTGAGTACCGTGAAAAACACATTGGCAACTTAGAAACTTATAATGCAATAAAACGAGCTCGTGCTGTGTTTAAAACCAAGCCAAAGTGTGTTGTCGAAGGCTCTCAAATCATTGATATTGATTATGTACACTGAGAGAAAAATGTAGTAGTTTCAACGGCATATGGTGCCAACCACACGCATTCTCTCGTATCGAAACCGAATTTCATTACCTTAGAAATAGATTCAAATAGATTCAAATAGAAATAGATTCATTGATTCAACGATTTTAACATCAATCGAATCAATTTTTGCTTCGAAACAAGAGAACGTGCGTGGTTGGCACCATATTCCATTGAAACTACTACATTTTTCTCTCAGTGTAGGTAAGCAGATGGTTCGTGTTCAGCACAACTAGAGTTTTTTGATGATTGAAGACGAAAAAAAATCGGTTTAGCATCTATTTTCATGAAAATGTGCTAATTTTTCAGACGTGAAAAATGTATACTCAACCCGCAAAATCACCCGCACTAAACAACGTTCGTTATACGATGTCAATCGTAGAGCAGCTGCTGGTGAGTATTACCCTATACATTCACTTTTCGAACTATCAGAAACTTGTGATAATTATACTATTGGAATAGGTTCAATTGATACGGGAATAGGTCGTCGGCAATTGATGAAGTTTCTAGCTGGGCTTAAAATTCCGTCTCCTACTGAACCCATTTTTAAATTAGCCGAAAAACTCGTGAGACCAGCTTCCTTTTCTGTAGCCGAGGATTCTTTTAAAAAAACAATTGCGATGGAAAAGGAATTAACAATTGCAGCATTATCATCTACTGAGAAGTAAGTAAAAGACATTCCATAATTTTGTTACTCAAAATTGAGTGAAAATCGTTGAACAATTGGGAGCGTATTTCGTGGGGTTCTTCGCTTTCACTGTACCTTTAAGAGGTCATTTGAGTATGCAGAAGGCAGATCCAAATTCGGCTCCAACGTGTGTTAGTCATAATCTTTGTAATCAGTCAGATGACAAAATTAAAGTAATAAACTCTCATGTTTAAATAGGGCAGACAATAATTAAAAATACCCCCCACGCAGATAAACAAAAATGATAATTTCATAATTGATAAAGAGTTCATATCAAATAACGAATAGGGAAATTTAAGATATTTGTTCGAACATTATCTAGTCGATTCGATTTTTATTTTATTGGTCGAAAATATTCTGAAATTTGGCATACTGCATTGGGTGAGTTGTCCCATTGAGAATAAAGCAATCATCATAAAAAAAATGAGTATTGTAAACTATGGGATTTTTTTAATTTTCAGAGGCTGTGGAGCCTATCAAGTTGACCAAAAAATCAATGAAAAATACGTAATTCGAAATTGTAATTGAAAATTATCACTCGTCATTACGGGAGAAAATAATATATTTTATGGCTTATTTTTGTACTTGCTACAGCTAAAATCGTTTTTTTTAGATGAGTATGTCAAATTTTTTAATTGCATTTTTACTTAAGTGCGACATCATAGTAATAGCTGATACTGAAAGAAGAATACAAAGGAAAAAAGAGATGCATTCAGGTATTGTATTCTGAGAAAAGAATAACTTTTTCAGGTAAATTTCTTTGCTACCAGTAAATGTATATTAATGTGTATATTTAATAAGTATCAATTTTCTTAATGTTCGTATATTTATTTGGCAAAGGTACATTTTTTTTCCGGTGTACTGCTTATGATCAGTAAAGTTATCTCTCTCTGGCACACAACTTTCTTTACGGAATGGAAGGAGCTACCTGCCCCATTATTCCAAATCGATCACAGTCCGCGAATTGTTATTGGTTCCCAGTGAAAGTATATTTGAAAAGTTTATAAAAATAATAGCAAGAATATGAAAAAACATAAACATTTGATAATGAAAAAAAAATCATTGCAAATGGAGAAGATATTTCAAGTGAAAAATATATTTGAAAATGAGCATGGGAATGAATGTTTGTGAATCAAACCTTGTTGTCAAGATTATGTTACGATACAGATGGTGGGCGTTCAATGACCTACTCGAATGACTTTTCCACACATTGTCACAGGGTCAAAAAGGAAGAGGTTGTGCAGCGGTGGCTCTCTCTGAGATACTGCCTTTATTATCTCTTGTCCCATCACACCTCCCAGAATGGCACAGACTGGACTTACTTGACCATAAAGATCCCCCCTAGAATTCCAAATCATTTATAATCATTCAATTGATCAATGCAATGTAATTGATTAAAAACAGAATGCCACGTTGTCACTCACTCAACGACATAATTAATTTTCTCTCCCAAGGTGTACTCTTTGATGATAGCCTCAGCCTCTTGAACCAACGCGGGAAGTTCGGACGCACGTTCACTTGGGGTTGGATCCTTGCCATATTTCTCTCGATAGTTCATCATAACTACAAATAAAAGTAAAGATAATTATATTCAGTTATAAATTTACCAATGATTAATATATTATTAAGTCTTACCCTGAAACAAATGATAAATTTCGGAATTTTTTGGTAATGTCTTTGCAGTAAGGATTTTCTCGAAGGGTACAAAGTTCTCTGTTTTCTTGATGGTGTTCACTATCCCTTCGACACTTTGATTATCTTTAGAGTCTCCCCCAAGGCCTGTTTTTTTCTTATTTTGAACTACATCCCTAAAAGAATTAATTAATATCATCAGCAATGCTATGACTAATGTGAAATAGAATAAGTGCGTTTAAGACCCGTATGGATATTCTATCGAACATGATCTTTTGTTTAAATTCTATCTTATTAGATAGATATTCAATCATTTTTTCTCCTTTTTTCATTATCTTATTATAACCATTCCAATAGTTCCCTCGACACGGTACAAATTTGATCTCAAATTTTAATATCACAATATAGTCACAAGCTAACAAGATCGAATCTAAACAAAATATCATGTTCGATAGATAGTGCATGCAGGCCTTTAATGAAATAAGGAATAAATCACTCACATGGCATATTCATGTGTTAAGAGATCCTCGAACGTGTACCCAAACATCCCCCAAACATCACCAGCAAAGAATTTGATGTTGTATTTTCTGCAAGCTGCATTGATTCTCTTCAACTGAGTAATAGTGCACTCGGAAGCACAGACAACATCGAAGTCCCTGAAGAAGGTATCTGGCTTGGTGTCAATGTTTGAATCATCAGCCGTTACTTCAACCATCGAGTTGAGGTTTTGGGAACGCTCTACTGAAGCTTGTGCTCGCTGAAGAAAATTGATCCCCACTATGTAACAATCTGGGATAACTCCTTAAAAATTCTATAATGACTCAATCAGGGAATAACTACCTTTTGGTCTACCTTCATTTTTTTTTACCGTAATACTATGACTATTAAAAATTCTAGGGCCTTAAATTTGCTTCTTTGTCCGCTTACACCACAATTAAAAATATTCAGATCTGTTTACCAAATCATATAATTTCGAATAATCCACAATGATTTTTAATTAAGAAAAAAATATATTAAAAAAAAAACAGTTGAAATTGGCTTTGTTAACTTTGAATGATTAACGAATAAAGAAGAAGAAATTAAAGATTGTTTGATTATATTTACATTCTTCCCAATATCTTTTCTATCAGCAAAGAACTGTGAGCAGAAATCCTCTGGAGTCAAATCTCTGTGATCCAGGAATTTGATCGACTTAATCCCAGCAAGAATAATATTCTTCGCCACTTCAGCACCGAATCCATTCAGTCCAATCAGAAGAACCTTGGCCAAACGTAGTCTAAAAAGAAAAACAGCAAATTGCTTATAGGATTCTCATGAACAAGCCGCTGAAATTCTAGGTTAGAGACATGACTTACCTTTTTTGAGATTCCAATCCCCATAGACGAATCTGTCTGTCGTAAAGTTCAGCCTCAGCATCAGTGAGCAGCTGCGAACCATTTCTTTCTTCAACCATTATTAATAGATATTGAAATATTTGAAAAAACTTATAATAATTGATGGAACAAATTCTGCCGCGCACGCTTTGTATCACCGATAATACAGGAATTTACCTTGAATTCAATACGACAACGGACAGTCCCTGTCATCTGACGGACAAAGCGCGAATTCTCTGCTCACTTTATCGAAAAGTTGAGTCAAGTGTCAAAATTGACAGTTACGATTGAAAACAAATTATAAATTATGGAATTTCAATTTGGTCACATTTGATTGCTGTACGTAATTCATATTGATAACTTTGAATTCAGGTTGTATTTTTACGAAAATTAAAATTTAACTAAATGTAATGAATGTCTAAGAGATCTAGGTTAGGTAAAGTTTATTCATTCCTAATTGTTGAAGTTGCTGAGTTTTATTTTCATTGTTGGTAATATTCAAATGAAAGTTGTTAATAAGGGGAGAGATAAGTCGAGGAGTATTATCAGTGACCTCTTGATCATTCACATTAATTAATCGAACCTTGCAAGACTTTATATGCTGCAGTAAATTTTTACACTTTGGAATTATTTTTTTATTTCTTGTTTTTCTGCTGATTACTGCCACATATTATCTCGTAGACACAACGCCTCTCAATAGCCTTAAAATTAATTCCCTGGATATAAATCAATGTCAATGCAAGGTACGGTTTTAATCCATCCCCAATCACAATTGACATGAGCAATTAATATTATTTTCATTTAGAAGCAAATTAAATCATTCATTCTACTTTTAAATGTTAGTGATTACCGTACAATTGACTGATTTTTTAAATGAAAAAATTGATTAATAAAAATGTTAAGACTAATATTCAATAAATATTTCAGGTGAAATTTTTAATCTGATTTTTGACGTATAAAAACACCAAAAATGGACAACGATTTATCGATAGAAAAGCTCTTCGTCTTCAAATTTCCTACATGCACAACAAACGAAGATTATGCTCTGGAAATTCCGATACGAATACCTTATCATGGCAATGTCACAGAGTTCGCATATCGTATAATGTCATCATTTAAACTCCCATCTTACGTTGAAACAGATCTAATGGATTCACTAACCGAAAACGTAGGTAAGTGGACGCAGGAGTATTACGACGACCGAGATGACAAGCTGATTGATGCTGCAATCAATGGTAAACTGGATGTTGAAAGGATAGTTAAGGATTGGGAAAAGGCATATAAAACGAAGACAGTCGAGTATGCTGAACCCATTGGGACAACTGACGAAGAGCTTTTCGCTGCTGCCTACCACAGACTCGTCCATTCTCCTTCTCTCGAGCCTATTTTGCAGGCTGAGCATAAATATGGCAAAGATGTCACTGAAGTTATTCAAATACGAGATGGGGAATATGAGCAGCTAACACAAAAGTTCGAACTTTAAAATTTATGGCAAAACCATTCAAGTTGATTTCGATTCTACACAATTAACACAACGTCAAACTATTCCATCACAATATTGCAGATTTTAATATTGTGATGAAAAATATTACGGGGAAAATTATATTACTGCTGGTAATAATATTATACCGTCAAAATATCACAGTGGGAAATATTATTGATAAACATGCTACACATTCGAATTTGGATTTTGTGTTATTTTTTAACTGTGTTCTTCTTTTTGATTCTGTTGTTTTTGTTGGAATAGTTTTCAGTGTATCATTATTCTTCTTGGTAATATTATAATATTTATGACCATTTCTGTCTCTATAAGACTTTGGAAATGTCTTGAGAGTTCCGTGAAATTATAGATAGGAATCAACTTGAAACATTTTGTCTGTTTGATAGTGACTCGGTATTGCACATAACAAGTTCAAAAAAATGGAAGTAAAATTTTGAATGATTTTTCTTTTAGACAAACTGATGAGATGAAGCTGGCAGTGGAAGCTCTGGAAGCTGGATCCACTGAAAAATCTATCAATGAAATGGCAGCGAGGCACTTTGAGGAACAAAGTTTATTACAGGGTCACTGGGGCTCGAGAGTTGATGCACTCAAATTGGAACAACGTCGTCAATATCGTAATTGGATCATGAGATTGCTCGAGGAGCAACAGACTAATATGCTACCAACACCGGTGTAATTATTACTCCTTCAGAATGTCAATGTCAAACCTATATCTGTTGGAGGCGATTTATTTTTATTTTAATAAATTTCTTCTTTAGTGAATCCCCAATGGTACCAATGCCTTTGGCACCAGAACTCATGTCAAACAATGACAGTAAGACAGCCCGAAACACTTCAGACATGCCACAGTTAGAAGAAAGTTTTACCATACATCTAGGCTCTCAAATGAAACAAATGCACAATATCAGGATTTTAACTGGAGATGTTCTAGATTTTTGTAGAACGAAAAATAATGGGTAAGTCACAACTGAATCTTAAATGAATGAATGAGTGGGTTACAACTTGATGTATGATTTTTCTCTTCCAGAAATATGGAACCAACTCCACAAAGATTGCAGACAGCTCTTGGACTGTACTCGAACGACCTTTGTGGTCTAGTTCTCCTGAGTGACAATCATCTAGGGAGTTACTCTGGTATCACCAAAGGTTGACACAATCATGAGATACCTTATCGACAATTTTGACTACGAATTGAGCTGAACCTCTCATTTTCAGAGCTCACTTCCATTTGTCAATTGACTACGGAATTTCATTTCCCTCCTATTGACGAGCAATTAGAAAAAATCAAAGAGGATGTTAAAGAAGCTGTCGCGTGGAGACAGACGCACCATCGAGAGGGGAGTGATAACCAGGTCAAGAAATCAGCATCTAGTCGATCGCTACAAACTGGCGATGTTTTTATTTCAAGGCATTCCAATTTAGCACAGGTTCATGTTGTGTTTCACATGGTTGTCAATGATTCATTACGTTCAGGTAAAAGAATCTATTAGCGATGGGATGGAAATAATGGCTTTATTAATTGCTCAGTTAATTTAATTTTCTTGCAGGCGATATCAACTCAAGATGCCCAGCGATTCTCGGCCTGAGAAATATTCTGAAAACTGCTTGCGTTAATGATGTGACAACCATTACAATTCCAGTATTACTCGTCCATGAAATGACAGAAGTAAATTTTCTTCCATTATCAAATCTTTTTTTTTTGGTGCTTAGTGAGCTACTCTTAAATTTTTTCAACTGAAGACTAAAATTGACGACGTTTTTTGCTTTGTCTCTTAAATTTCTTTTGAATATGTCGTTCAAGAGATTATCCATCGTGAAAATTTTGTTGACAGATTCTGTCAAATGGTAGAAAATTTCGAGAAACGTAAAAAAACAAACATTACGAATTTCAGCATAAATTTGTAGAACTTATCATAATACGAAAAATTTTGTAGAAACAGTTTCGGAAATATTGCCACCAAAAATGTTATATTATGTTAAGTTGATAGAATGTTACAATACCACAAACAATGAAATCATCTGAGAAAATATGTCATTATACCTGAAGTTATGACATTTGACATTTTGTGACAAGTATCTATGACTTAATAATCTGTTGGAATGTGTCATATTCTGTAAATAAGCATCATAGTCTGACAGTTTGTGACGAAAAATGTCATCAAATATCACACAGAGTGAGTAGATTCCGAGAACATATTATGAAAAATTATGATCGATGCTACGAAAATTTATAAGATTATGGCAGACTTTTCTGTTGGAACTTCTTAGAACACTTTCTGAAATTCCGTCAAATTTTGACATATTTTGACCGATATTGATATAGTATTATATATTTCGCCAATTTTTTGATCGACAAATTTGTCGAAATGTGTCAGAAGTTGCCTTTTCCTGACACAATTTCGGTAAGAATTGGTAGACTATTTCGATACTGAATGGATATTCATAATTAACAAGGACGTTTCGATTTTTTTCTCTTTAAATTTTTCATTGTGATTTTTACCCTATTTCGTAGGACATGACAGTCGCCTGGTGTACAAAACGTGCAGAACTTGTATTCAAGTGTGTTAAAGGATTTATGATAGAAATGGCCTCCTGGGGAGGGGCAGAACTGAAAAATTTACAGTTCCTAGTTCCAAAGGTGAATGCATTACTTACGACGTAATGGTCAGTTTTTTTTCATTATATTTTTATTAATGATTTTTATTCCAGGGAATGTCTGAAGAAGTTTTTGGAACATTGGCCACTATGCTACCAAGTATATTCCGGGTGTCAAATCCCCTGGTTTTCAAGGCGAATGGTGCACCCAATACACCGAAGAAATAAATCCATAAAGGAATTCATTCTGATTATCAGGGATGTTTTTTTTCCTTAATTCATATATGCCTTTATTTTGCTATGTGAGGTATCGCCTAGCTTGCTCAAATTTAAAATTCATCGGCAATAATTGTGATAAGATACTTGTTTAATCATTAAATAAATAACGATTTATCATTTTTGAATACTTTTCTTAGCCTGTCAATCATTAAATAGTTCTGTTCATAATTCTGTCTACACTCCATAACTCGAAATGAATGACATTCGATTCACACAGTATAATTATGAATAAGAATATCGAATTTAGTGTTGGTAATTACCCGAAATGATCAGAATTCTTCAGGATCATTGCTACTAAAAGTTTTATATTTAATTGAAAAAAAAATAGCATTAGCGCCATTATCGCTCATCGGTTGCAGAATTTGAGGAAAACAATTAAATTATCAGCATGCAACCCGAGGGCAGCTGAAGTATTTTAAATAAACTGTAGTGGGAATTATCAGAGAAATTTATCACATACAGTAAAATATGGTACGTTAGCTACAACGATGCTGAACTCAATGACCCGGTTGTCACTAACTGAATTCTCGCGATGAGGGAATCGAAATCGCTCTTTGTATTCCGGTAGTTCGTCACACGTAGACGACCTACGCAAAATCGAGCTACAAAGTAGCTGATCTTGATTTTAAGGGCTTGGGAGAAAAATTGAAAATGTGGCCACGTGTGTTGATACTTCTGATGACTGCAGCTATTGTGATAGATGGAAAAGGGGATTCTGAGGTGAGTGACAATCAATATAATCATAGGAAATCATGAATAATATCCCTATTTTTCTATGTATATATATACGTATATTAATGAATTTCAATGCATTATTCATTATCTATTATTTCCGTAGTAAATCTTTCTTTCGTAATAGTGTTTGGAGTTTGACCATATTGGTCATGAGTATTTCATCATTAAATGCGCCTCTTTAAATAATTGATATTTAGAAAGATTTATTGATTATTATGTTGAAAGTATAATGCACGCTTATAATATTCTCATCTAATTCATTCACCATATGGAGAATGAAAAAATTTCATTCGCTTGATGAACGTAATTTTTTAGATAGACTTGTCCCACCGTCACATGAAGAAAGAAGAATTCTTCGTAACTATTCAACATAAACTCAGCATCCAGGATGTTACAGAACTTAATTTAAAAGGAAATGACTTCGACAGTTTTCTGGACTGTTCTGCAAAACTAGTCCACTTAAAGAGCTTAGACTTGGCGGAGAACAAGCTCCAGCGGTTCTTCTTTCTATGCAATGACGAGTACTCACTCGAATACTTGAACATCAGTCATAATCATTTGGAATATATCGACGATCAAGCTCTGAATGAGAGAATTCCTAAACTCAAGGTGTTGGATATTTCCCACAATAGAATCTCTGTTATTAATGAAACTATGATAGAGCACATGAAGGTATGTCGTTGATTTAAAATTATTTTAACAATACTTTATGATACAAGTTAAAAAAGGATACTTTCGCCCGTCCCGCGCGCAATAAGTTAAAAAGCACGGCTCAAAGAAAATGTCTCCAGTTCTAAGTTCTCCTGGAATTAAGATCTGGAAAAAATGAAAAAATGTCTTAAATCGTGCTACAATGACGACTTAACGAAAAATGTCTTTTAGAAGAAGTTTCAAATAATAATCTAAGTCTCTTACAACTTTCTATTTATTCCCAAAGAAGTAAAAAATTGACAGTAAATTGATATTTTAATTGGTCTTTAAAATCCGATGAGACTAAAGCCTCGTTAAATTTCATTTTTCTATCTAAATTATGCTTCCGGACAGCCATCACTATATCGCGTAATAAGCAAAGATACTGAATTTTTGCCCTATAGAGCCTAATCTAGTCACTTCCGCTTTCAGATCCTGGAATTTCTTTCAATGGCGCACAACCCAGTCATTGACATACACGAGAAGGCTTTTCTAACGCAGAAGAGTCTCAAACACTTAGACCTGGCTAATATCAGTGCAGAGTCAATTCCGGGCTCTTTGTTTCGTCCCCTGACAAACCTAACATTCTTAAATATTTCTTTCAACCCCATCGTTAATATTCCCTTCCTCCCTTCGTCGCTGCTTGAACTTGATCTTTCTGGAACCTTCATCTTCTTTCCGGATAACATAATTCTTCCGCAATTGGTGAGATTCCATTTGAACTCCATGCCAAAAATCACAGGAGTGGTCCTCAATGATTTCGAGAACTTTACTATGCTTGAGGTTCTCTCGTTGGAGAGGTGTCCTATTCTGTCAGAGTTCAGGGTCTGGCCTCCTAACAATAGAATTTTACCGCATTTGCATCATTTATCCGTAAAGGGATGTGATCTGGAGACTCTCAACGATGACCTTCGGCCAATAATGCAGAGAATTGCAATTGTGGACTTGCAGAATAATCCATGGCACTGCGATTGCAGAATGCAGTGGGTCAATCGACTAAATTTATCTAGTGAACTTAGCCAAGAAATTAAGTGAGTACTTTTTGACACTATAATGTTTCAACATTTTTTATTAGAGATGTGAAGGAACTGCTAATTTCTTTTTTTCCCGAAAATTCTGGTTAATGAAAAAACTACTTTTGAAAAGTATGAACTGAACATTTTCCTGCCAGAAACTTTCTTAATTATGAGAATTCAGAAACTTACTATGACTAGGTATTTTCATTACAGTTTTTTCAAACTTTTGAAAAGTATAACTTTTACGTTTCATATGTTTTTAAAGTACGTACCATCGGTAAACTGCAAAAACTTCTTAAAAGTGTATTTTATACTTTTTACAAGTATATTTTGTATTTCTCGCAAGTTAGAAGATAACTGAAGGTAAGTATTTCAGATATGGGATAGTTTCTGAGATATTTGCAAAAAGACATTTCACAAACAATCACCGAATTTTCGAAAACTACTCTGCCGACTGGGCTGAAATTTAGCACAGATCAAGTCCATATTAGGATCTATGAACCGACAAAATTTCAGATTTTTTAGAATTAATTTATCCGTTTATTCTTCTCATTTTCTAAAAGTTGGCCACCACTTGACCACTTGCATATGCACAGATTGCCCCCAAACTTCCTATTTTTACATTTCAAACCGTTCTACCTCATTTCCAGGCAAAGTTAGGAAATCGAAAAATCTAACGATTGCAATGCTTCCATTCGCAAGGAAAAAACGGAGAAATGGCTATATCTCGCGATTTTTCTACGAACGGGTATACACTTTTTCATAGTTTTATTTAAAAATATGCATATATCTCAGAAACTATCGAACTGATTTATTTATTTCTTCTTGCAAATGTTCGGCTCAATGTGCTCTGTATACATCGGCCAATTAATTTGAAATTCGACAGAAAATTTCCTATTATGACGACAGCACACAGAATATTTTCTATTGAAAATGGGCTCGATCGAATGATTCCTTTAAGGATGCTGTATCGCGATAGTCGCTGGAAAAAGTTTATCCGCTGTAAAACGGGCCAGTTTAGACCACAATCTTTTCACGGTATATGTTCACAGTTGATTGATTACATTGTGCATGGATAGCAAAAGCATAACTATATATTTTCCATATAATCTATTTTAAATTATATAAATTTATGGACTTTCGATAATTATATTGCGTAAACCAAATGGTTAATCGATTTGGTTTTTTTTTCTATATTTCCTCCCACGATATATATTCCATGGCATTTTTAAAATTCTCATCGGTCTAATAGAGTTTCTATTTGAACACGTGTTAAAACACTTGAATTTCAAAAAATTATATCGCAAGTTTAACAAGATCAAGCGCAAATGGGAAGCGCTCATTTTGTTGCTTATTGTTTTAATTATTCACCATAAAATTTTCAGCGAAAACTGTGGAACAAAAATTTTACGATACAAAAGCCTTAAGAGATATTGCCATTTTTCATTTTGTTCGGAAAAATCATTGCTGGGATAGCTACGGATCCATTCGGAAATGTACTAGCAATTGTATTGATAGAGATAAAAAATGAGAAAAAAAAACTACCGCATAAAGTAATGGTTAAATGCTTCCTGCCCAACAGGCTAGGCCAACTACTTGTTTTATATTTATACTTATAAAATTGTGTCAAAATAACAATTATTTATTTTTTCGTTTAACATTATTTTAGTTTTTCTAACTGATGTCAACTTTCATTCTCAGAAAACTAAATGGAACTTTTATAATTATTGGAATTATTTTCATCCTTATCGATAAATTATTTTTGGAGTTCTCGAAAAAATGTCTAGATGTCACCACTAGCCTCATAAACTATTTCAGTAGTCTTAAGTCGAAGACGTGAAGATTATAATCTATAATTGACTTTCACAGTAAAAATATATGGGAAGTATTAAAACTATGACGAACAAAAGATTTCAGATACATGCTACGTACAGCCATATTCTTTGATTCTGTCATATTCTTGAAGGATCTCTTAGGCATGAGTTTTTGTCACAATATGCCACAGTATGACAAATTATGACATCAAAAATGGTATATAATTTCACTTTTTATGACATTTTTGGTCATAGCTTCAATTTCTAAAAATTTTCTGAGAAAATTTGACATCTTATAAGTTCTGCAAATTTATGTTCGAATCCGTAATAATTGTCATTCTTTTAGATTGTTTGAAGTTTTCCGTATTTTTTTGACGGAATATTCGAATCTCTCTGCAAAATTTACAAGAGGCTCACGTAAACAATTCAGAACGGTGACAAATTCATCTGGAAGCCGATAACAATAATTGACAATGTATTATTTTGATGTTTCAGATGTAACAGCCCTGAGCAACATGAAGGTAAGCTGCTCTCACAAATTCCGAACCACGACCTAATCTGTCTGGAAATATCGACCACCACCTACACAGCCATCTGGGTGTCTATGTCGATAATTGTGATTCTCCTGATATTATCCGCGGTGTGGTTATTCTGGAGAGGTCCTCTAAGACACTGGACTTTACCAAAACGCAATGGTGACACAGTTAGTTATAAGAATGTTGTTGAATCGTCGAATGACTTAATTCGAATATTAGTGACGGACGACAGAGCTGAAGAGTAGCAACTCTTAAATTAAATTCACTTGAATGAATGAGAAAATAATGAATTTCTCCATGTTTTTGTTGCTGACTCATAAAAGAGCTGAAAATAGTTATTTATAAGGAGCACTAGTCAACTGTGGTAATTTTCAATCGATGTATGGTCCATTTCATGGTGAACCCCATTATTCTCCATTATTGAAGCATCTGTCAGTAACAATAGGTGTGTATTATCCAATGGCAGACCGGGTAGTCCCAAAATATCTTTGACACAAACATTCTCTCAGCTCATTTCAACCCCTTCGTGCCCAATAAAAGAGATACAGTCTCGATAGTAAAGAAAACAGTCTACCTGGTTACAATAGCTTCCACAGTGGCTTGACTGCATTCGAATGAGATTACGGCTGTGCCCGCCCTTCCTCGCGCTTCACCACCATTTACTTTATTTTTTTTCATCTCCTCTCTCGCTTCATTTTAACGTTACGAAGAGGCGGTGCGTAAATACACACGCTCTGTGTTGATTATTAACATTAGGGGGACGACCAGTCGGCCAAGTTAATGGTGACTAACGTGCGGTTCAAATTCAACTTCAACAGATACTCAACTACATTTACGTTCACTCTAATATTTACTACTAAAATTTATGCAAAATAAATTGACATTTTTCAATTTAGACCTTGTTATTCATCCTTTTCATCATATCTAAGCCAATTAAACATTTTTTAGAAATAATACTATAGAAGGACTTTTTACATTTTGTCAATAAATCCTTCGTATTGAAAAACTTTTATTTTACTATATTATGGGAATAATCGAACTTTCGAAATTAAAAGTCTTATTTTAACTGTTATTATTGTGATACGATGAAAAAACCAATAAAAACCATACACTTTTTATGCACTACAAACATTCCACAGCTTGCTTAGTTTTCGGAGTAATAGAAAAGTATTCACTATTAAATTTCGTAGACTCTTTGATTACTAAGTGAAAAAAAATCTACTATTCTGTTACAATTGTCAATCAATCATACCTTTTAATTCTAGGCCATTTTTCTTATTATAATGATAAAGAATCAAGACAGAAGGAATGCTTCTATTATGAAGCAATTGAAATTTTCAACTAAAGAAAATAGTATTGTTGAATCTAGAAGATTCTTTTCAAAAATTACGAAATTTTTT